AACATTCAATTAACCTTATCTAGTCTCATTCTGAATGGTAAATGAAGATACAGTCCTCAGCTGTTTCAGAAACATTGAGGGACTTAGGTAACCTGATATGAGGAACGACACAAGGCGCCTGTGACCTTGTACTGGAAATATTCAAGGATGGTAGCCAAGGTTTGTTGGTTGTACTAAGTACAGTGCCAGCGAAGTTATGGTAACTGGCCATGATCCCCTCTAATTGGTTTCAGTCGATAAATATTCCAGTCTTCAAAATCCTGTTGTGATAGCCAAAGAGGAATGAGCCTGAGGAATATAGTATCCAGGATTTCAGACCACCTAATTATTCAGTGCCTATCTGAAGGCTGGGGACAGCAAACCTGAGAAAGCCAAGGAGGTTTCAAATTTATCTATGAAGTATATCGATCAAATGTTCACTCATTAGGTTTTCGAACAGAGATATGCTCCTTACCACCCGACAGTTTTAGATGTGAAGGCAACATTTAACTGTATTATTTAAGACTTTTTATGATAATACTTCTCTCTGAAAGGTACGCCTAGCAAGATCATCCCTTCACTAAGACTGTGTGCTCTTACGCTGATGTTCCTTTTAGAGTCTATGGTTAGCCGTCATCTGAAGTATCTATGTCGAGTTGTTTCCTATGGTGATGTTTTTTGTCTCCATTTCCATTGAATTTCGGCATTAGTGTGCTTGTAAGAATTCTCATTTCTAGTTTTGTTTGCTCATGGACTGATAACCTGACTGAAGATTTCTTAGCTGTCTATTAGTATACAGGTCGTATAGCTCTGTAAGACGAAAACAGTCATCAGGATTTTTTGAATACGTTTAGTAACAATTCGACAAGATGTAGGATGGTATGTTTCTAACTTTACAGCTACCAGGTGTTAGTTAATCCAGGACTAGTGTGAACTACTAGTTTTTCTGACAATAGGGAGTGAGATCGTAGAACTAGCTGAACCTTAATTCACTTACTTCAGATCAACTCTGGTGTTAGATGATAATACCTCGACATATACACAAAAAGCTTTATTAACTTTTGTTAACCTACATCACTTATTGCTCAAGCGAGGTATTCGATTACCAAACTAGGATTCTCCTGTACTGCAGCTCATTGTGCGTTGATATATAGTTGCGAAACAGTTATAAAAGCTCGTAGTGGTGAGATGTTTGAGATGTTACCTTCGTATCATCAGTCTCGTATCACAAAACTACCCCATGGAGAGCTTAGGATCAGGTTGAAAAATGTTTGTCAGCTTATGAAGCTGTAAATGTTCATCGTTTGAAATGATTGTGACATATTCCACATACATTGAACTACCTTCTTTTCGAAAGTATCATATTATCTTAAGCAGAGTTGAGTTCGATATAAGTTAAAGATGGTTAAGTTAGAGTATGACATGAAGTTCTTACTTCTATTATGAACTATTCAGGGAAGTATAGACTTCCAAGTTAAAGTGACAACAGAAATTGATGAATGGATAATATTCAAGGTTATATGACCGGAAGTGAATTGGTACCAGTTGAAGAAATACATTTTCAAGTTTTATATTAATCTTATCAGTATGTTTGATGTTGGTTTGTAAACGAACTATTTTTATATGGATACCCTTGCACGTTCTGATAAATAATGTTATATTAAAGTATAATATTGACAATGAGGAACATTATCGAGGATATGTATGGCCTCGTAAACAGAATTCATTGAATCTATGTACCTACATCTCAGTGAGGTGCCTTAGACTTGATTACTAGTCACTGCTATTCAACAATAATATGATTATAGTTATAAACAGTCCAGACTTATATTAGGAATAAGCGAATATGATAAAGACATTTATCAATCTACCAGTTTTATGAATATACAGTTTATTACTATTATTATTTTTCAACGGAAACACCAACTGTTTATTTAATTAACTTTAACCCCTTTAAATATATCATTTGTTTTATTAGTTATAAGGGTTCATGACTGAGCAATGTGTGAGTGGAAATTCAATTGGTTCTTCAGTCTTTCTGTGGTGACTTTAGAGTGACTTTAAAGGTCATCCTAGAAACTGCTGTGATAACCAATTGGGCTTCTATATTTTATAAAAAAAACTACCTTTATAGACAAAATACTGTAACCTGATTGGTTATTACAGTAGTTACCAGAATGGCCTTTAAAGTCATGCATTTCTGCTATGCGTGTCCCCGATAAATAAAGGGGACTTTAAAGGCCACTTTAACCGCAATCAGGTTACGGTATTTTGACTGAGAAGATAATTTTTCATAAAATAGAGAAACGTGATTAGTTATTCTATCAGTTTCTAGGGTGGCCTACAACCTCACAACCGCGATGATACCAATCAGGTATCTTGACTGGGAAGACAATTTTTGGGTGATTTTAAAGGCCACCCTAGCAACTGTTAAGACAACGAATTATGGCTCTCTGTTTTCTGAAAATCCAACTTCCTATTCGAAATACCGAAACCTGATTAGCTGCTCCAACAGTTGATAAGGTGGCCTTTAAAGTCACCCGTTTAAGGGCTACCCTTGCAGCTACTGAAATAACCAGTCAGGCTTTGGTATTTCTCCTGGAAGAGTACGTTTTTATATGATAAAGGAATGTAATTGACCGTTTTGTCAGTTGCTAGGGTGGTCTTCAAAGCCACACATAAGTAATATACTTCATCTGATTGAATCACTCCCAGCCTACTCCCCCTTTTCATATATACGACATTCACTGGTGTTTAGTCCAGGTAAAAGGTGAAACGGAGATCTCTAAAAACCATCCTAGTGACTATTCAAATAGATAATAGTCGGAATTTCATTTCTGAATGTTTTATTGAAATGGAGACTGGATAGTTCCCTCAAGAGGGTTGATCTACAAGAAGCTGACATGAAATGGACAGTATATGAACTTGTACACCTGGACACCAGTCGATAAAAATAGGAATCAGATTCACTGTTTGTTATATAAAACCAAAAGGATCTGCACAAATAACAAACAAAATCTATTGAGCAAAGCTTGAAGTTAAGACTAAGGAAACAGCAAGTACTCATGGCTCTGAAGGAGACTTCATTTATGAATATTGAGATTATAGTTGATACAGTAGCGGAAATCCTGAAAAACCAACGGTCTAAACCACTGAGAAAAAATATTTTTTTGGTAGATCAGCTAGTTGGCAAATGGTTCCAGGGTGTGTTAAAATCAAGCTTCCACTTTGGATCACTTTAATTAGTATGTACAAGGTTAATTATGTTAACTTCTATGGGACTAGTTACATAGGTCGCATAAACTGTACACTTTCCAAATGTATCTCAGCATCATCTTGAATGTAAATGAATTAGCAGTTCAATCCTTGAACATTTAACTTCACCAGAGTCCTCCTTCAGTATTGTTTAACGGAGTCAAAGATGACCGTTGAAAAGGAGTTCACTTTCCAAACTTATGAATGGTAGAAGCAGTGACGATTCACTAGTTCAAACCTGTTCTCTACTTGCAGAAGAAATGTGTCCAATTGTTTATTTCCTCATTGTTTTGAGTCATGTCTAGTTCTTTTCGCTTTTAGATTTCATTACAATCTACATCTTATCAAGTTGACACTTAACCATCACATTCTACATCTACCAACAATTGTCACTATCATTTTGACTATCTGAGATAGCCTTGTGAGTACAATCAAGCGATAGTAAAATATCACGAATTCACACAGCAGTCGGGCAAAACTCTTGTCGGTTGGAGTGAAAATGAGATTTGGTCAGCAGTCGAGTCTCATAGCTCAATTGGTTGAACAACCGGTTAAGAACCCAGTGGTTTGTGGTTCGAGTCCCGTCGTGACCGAACTTTCCACTTCACCTTCAATCATCACCCGGCTTCAAGATTGTTGTATGCTTGTGATGTATGTAAGCACGATTGTACAAAGTTAGAAAGTGATATCCCTGGAAAAGAAAATTTTTTTCGTTGGGTTGTTTCCTCTTTTCTTTGATGCATATTATTGTTATTTTTCCCCTGAGTTCCTAGTGGAATATAGGGCCTCAGTAGCACGTTTTCATTTCACTCTGTTTTCTGAACATGGCTCCACGACTGCCCACAAGCTTTCATTTCTTCCTCACCTTTGATACATAATTAGTGTATATTCCATCGAACTACAAAATGTAAGTTTCTTGTAATTTGCTTAGTGTTAGCTAGCAGTAGATTCCGGGAAGTGCGTTTCATCCTATTTGAGATTTAGCAGCTGGATTTACTTGCTATCCAGTGAGCGACGTTGTTCTCGCCAGGTCTCGAACCCGCACCATTACTTGAAACTCCAACACAGCATACATTCAGCTGACCAGCCCCAAATAGGCCGAAAAGTGCGTCCTTGTCTCGAATGATAGCCACCACCAAACAAGATAGTAAATACTCAGGCAATATCGAGGCATCCGCATAGGAGCCCATCTGCCAACCAGTGTCGTGTAATTCGATCCAGAAAATAACGAGGAAATGAATAGAAATATGTGTTAAATGCAGTCAATTACAAATTTGGTAAAGGCGTTCTCATTACCATTTGAATTGATCACAAAAACTTATTTTCGAGATTTACCAGCTATGTTCATGTGGAGAAATTACTGATATGATTTTACACGACCACTTATTTCCTAAAAACATTTAAATTTCTAATCAGCTTACTCATAAGTAGCTCAATTATCTATTGTAAAAAGTTCTTTTTGTTGTTCATTATTTCAAATGAAGTGGTTGTTTATGTGAGGAAAATCATTCTGGGGTATAAAAAGTCGTAACAATGGAACTGCACTATCCCTGTCGTACAAGGAGTGGCTGTCATGACTCAATAGTTGAGTGGGTTTGAGTCTCAGTGGGAATAACATCATCCACAATGAGGTGGGTACATCCAGCTGATGAGTCAGAAATAGGACGAAACGTGCCACTTGCGTTCCATTGGTAGCCAATATCCATCAATAATATCAGAATACATGATTGTATTCGATTTTTATCTGTAATTTCTTTCTTTTCTAGGGCAGACATCATTGCCATCATCGTCGCCGTCAGCGGAACAGGATGTGGTGGAGACACGTTTCCTAATTACCAGTCGTGGTGTTTACAATCGGATTAATGCATTGATGCAAATAAGAAGGGAGAAAATGGTCGTTATGCCAAAACGTGTTAACTGGTCACTAGCCTCTTCAACTGGTCATAGAGATTTATCAATTCATCAAAAATTTTTAGATTGCAATAATTTAATGAAATTGTCACAACACTTTGACAACACTAACTTGTTGACAAGTTCTACGAGCAAGGAACTTATCGATAATGAGGATATCTATACAAACGGTAGCACTAATGTCGGTAACAGCAGTGATAATATTAATGAGAGTATGAATAATCATCGCGGTGTTACCAACAGTTGTAATGGTTATCTTAGAGATTGGGTCGGCTTGAAGATCAGTGATCCGAATGCAGATTGTGATCGTCCGCATTATCATCAGCATTATCGTTATAAATATTTTGAACAGAATGACCTGATCTTGAACAAAGTATCCGGTAGTTCCATTTACACTCCCACCATTTCTAACGTGAAATGTTCCAGTGGAACAACTTTAAACGGATATCATCATGCTGTAAACAGTCCTCAGAATAACTGTTCACCTAGAAATATTCACATTGCTTTCGTTCGTCGAGAATCCTCTGAATGTGGTCATTCGATAGCTGCACGTTATCTCCAAAGCAAATATTCACGTGAGTAATTCAATAAGGAAGTATTTTTATTTCTACAGTAAATATTGTTTTGATATGTTCATTCCTTTACTTGGTAAGAATAACAAGAAAACTATCAAGTGACTGTGATCAGGCTATTTCTCATTATCGGGTGTAGTGCGTATGTCTATGTGTATGTGAGTTTGGGATATATGCAGTAAAAAGATTATCTTCAAGTTGGTATTCATCACGGAGTGACATCAATTGAAGAACCGTTGACAACCTGGCAGTATGGGATAGCTGTTTCATGCTAACGTGGGAACTCTTGCAATCGATATCAGTCCGTGATGAATACCAACTTGAAATCGATAAATCCCTACACACTTCTAAAAAGATTGTTAGCTACATACTCCTGGAGCGTGCAAAAAATTAATGCACAGGACAATAGTGACCGTTTTTAACTGACACATGTAGTCGCTGCATAAAACATTTAATTGTTAGGAAAGCGAGTTGAAATGTTGGTTTTCGTCACTTAACCCATTTCTTTTTGCCTAAAATGTAAAATTTGAAAAAAACGTTACTTTCAAGTTGAGTCACATTGGTTTTCAGAAAAAAAGAATTATTACTCTGGTTATCAATTTTATGTTTTAACTGATTGGAAATGCCATCATAATTTGTGACAAACATTTGTACTATGCCGCTATTGCACAGGTTAAAGCACTGTCCTTGTTAATTACGTTATCTTCATATGTATGATTCTGATTGGTCAGCGAATACTTGAACTTGATTGGCCGTCACCAAAGTTTATTTCTACCGCTTATCTAAACTAAATGAAACTCCATTGATTGGTCACTGGAGAGAAAGGCATCAGTTTCATGTTATCTAGTCCTGACTACTGATCGACTTCTGTTGATCATTTTGCAATATAATCACCAAGCTGAGAGACTCGGCATTGTGATGCGCTTTGATGAATGTTAGACAACTATGCTTTGGTGGATTATATCTCATATATCGAAGATACTTTCAAACAGTTATTTTGTAGTCTGTTTTTGCAAGCATCCTCTCCAGGTCTTAGCAAATGTTTTATGCATTAACCCTCAAAATTAATAGGTATTAACTGTAAAATATTACTTATTTTGTAGCTGAAGTAGTTTTTTTTGATGATCTTCAGCTTATCATATATGGTCATCATTTTATAGCTACGTGCGTAAATGCATGAAGTGTCAAAAGAAAACTGAGATAGTCAGACAAAGAGTTGCTGATATTCACCGTTTCTTCCAACCAACAGTTGATTCAAGGGTGTATATATTCACTCAGGTATAGTATAGACTTCTGGTTGAGGTGTATATCGAGCGGATCTTATCCCTTTACAAGCTGATGAACTTATTCGCAAAGAAAAGAAGTAAAACTTTTTTCGACGATGTCATGTTCGAAATCTTTACAATCGTATTTATACACATATCACAAACATGTAACAATCCATTGTTGAACAATAGGGTATAGTTGCATCATCCAGTCAGCTAGTGTTAAAAACTGAAATCAAGGATGCAAAGTAGTTGCATAAATAATGGAAATAGTGAGGAAGGCAAGGGCTTGACAAGGTGAAAATTGTTGGTAGATGTGAAATGCAATGATTGAGTTTCCATTTGATAGATATAACGAAGGTAAAGAAAGAAAAATGGGTCCTAATGAAGGGGTGATAAAATTAAACTAACTAATGATAATAAAATCGAAAAATGTGTTAAGACCGTGGTAAGATAAGAGGTTGAACATACTTCTTCTGCACACAGAGATCAGGTTTGAATTGATGAAATGTCAGTGCTTCTACTGCGCACAAATATCGAAGGCATACTCCTTTTGAATTATTCCCTTTGACTCTGGAAATGACATTGAAGGAGGACTCTGGTGAAGCTACATGTCCACAGTTGATCAAATGTTCAAGGATTGAACTGTTAATTGACTCATATTCTCCACTAGACAACCATGCATGAGAGATCTCAGAGATACGTTTGGAAAGTGCACGCTTTATGTAGCCTTTATAAATAGCTCCACAAGAGCAAGTAGATTTTTAGACACATATTGAGATGGACAAAAGTAGCAACTTATCCTTAACGCACTCCGGAACCAATTGATGAATAGATAAGCTGATCTGGAGCTTGGCATAGAAAAATGTTCTTCTCAGCAATTTACACCACTGACTCTTCAGGATCTTTGCTGCCGTACTACCTTTGAAACCAAGGTCGATAAATATTTATTTATTTATTATAAGAAATCCTGATCACATTAACAATCAAGAAGGTATTCCCATTTCTAAGGAAGTCGATATTGACCAGAGGTAACAGTGAACATTTACTGTGGATGTTATTGTACAGAGTTGTAAAGAGTCGAGTTTACTGTGCTACAGTCGACTCTGTCCTACTGTGTGGGTGTGAAACATGGTGACAACAGGTAGAAGACATGAGAAAGTTTGAGGGGTTTGATCACCTGTGCCTTCGTAGCATAGACCGTGTTTCATAGTGTCACTACTCAGAAGTCAGGCTCGGGGTGGCTAGGCTAAAACATGGCATCAATGCATGAAGTCGTTGACTATTCGTCTGAGTGATGTATGGGGATACAGACTAGCCGGTTGGGGTCTGTGGAACAAGAGAAACCAGTGGTTGGAGACTGACTTCAGGTGATATGGCTGAGAACCGATGTTGGTGGCGCAGATGTATATACACATTATCTTTATCTTGACCGCTATACTTAATCTCATTTTCTCATTGTTCCTTCCTCTCTTTTACTACTTCCCACTTCCACTTCCTTTGATCGATTTTCTTTCCTTCTTCATCTTTCATTTTATTGCCCTGTTACTTGATATGCTGACATGAAGTGTGGGAACTTTGGTATTACACAGTAATGCTTGGTCGTATGTTGATCTTGATGATGACGATTGTAAAGTCTAGATGTATTTCCTCGTAGCAAAGTGCTTCTGACGTGTCTGTTTTAAAAAGTTAAAAAAGAGAGCTGCATATATGTAGACTTAATCTGAGTAGTCTGCCTTCTTCATGAAACTTTTGGCGACTATCAAGTCTAAGTTTCAAGATGTTTGTGAGCTTCATCTTACCATAAACAGAAGGCGATATTATATGTCTTTCTATAGCGAATTTCGACAAAGCGCTTACATTTTGCTCATTTCTGTCTAAATTCTTTTACGTTCTAGTGGATATTGAAATTTAGATTCATTTTCTAACAATGAATGTATTTTCTTTCTATAATGGCGTTTTTCTGGTAAAACGAACTCAGTCCATTCACTTTGACGTTTTATACTCAAATCATGTCAGTTGTCTAGGTATCTGTCTCACTGTGGCTTTTAGTCAGGAATGATTTAGTAAGCATTTTAACATTCTCATAACAGTATAGGGTGTACTCCTATAGTTTTTGGCATAAGGTTCTCAAACTGCATTCCAGTTTCTAATGAGCTAATCTTACTACTTCCAAGTGACAAGACCCAAAATTGACAGACAGAGTTGATGATGATAGGTTATGTTTGACTGGATCTTGTGTACTACCGGAACCGCGCGGGTGGCTGACACTTTCTGGTTGCCAACACTGTGGAAGGCTATTTCTTCTTTTTAAGCTACCTGAAAGAGAAAAAGACTTGCGTAACCTTAAATCCCAGGGGAAAACAACCAGCCAGCCAGCCAGCCAGCCAGCCAGCCAGCCAGCCAGCCAGCCAGCCAGCCAGCCAGCCAGCCAGCCAGCCAGCCAGCCAGCCAGCCAGCCAGCCAGCCAGCCAGCCAGCCAGCCAGCCAGCCAGCCAGCCAGTCGGTCAGTCAGTTAGTCAGTTAGTCGGTCAGCCACCCTTAGGACCCCATCATATTACAGTGATTTATATCATAACGATAATTGGTTTTCTGGCATAGTAAGACCTCGAGGTAACAATGGGTCCCAGTCAGTGTAGCTCGTTGGACCATTGTGATATCTAAAAATTGAGTGTTACTCAAAGTAAAATAGGAGAACTTGTAGACCCGGTTTTCGGGTTAGTTTTGGAAATTTAATTTGAGGGAACTGTTGTTAGGGTCTTGCAGTTTCTTTGACAAAACGTCAGGCGGATAACCCAGGAAGGAGGCTTTTGGTTCGAGACCTACCATGATGCAAGTTTTCGCTTCACATTCACTTATCACTGGGCATCAATGATATCATTCTATGAAACCAAAGCCATCTCAGACAGTCTCATCAATAAATCAGTAAATATATATATATATATATTATGAATAGAGTTTCACTTTATTTTCTTTGTTTGTCATTTATAGCTGCTAAACTTCGTAGATCACGACTTCGTGGAACGGACCATTTAGTGATCAAATTCAAAAGGGATTCACTTTCAAGGAATTATTATCCTAGTGAATTAGTGCCTAATTCTATTGCTCAATACAATGAACAGTCTGTTAATGATACATCTTGTAATACTACTGCTACTACTATTACTACTTCTACTCCTACTATCATGGGTTTAAATGATAATACTACTACAAGTAATGCAAATACAACTGTCACAACTCCTTCTTCTCCTTCACCTCCTTCACATCCTGCTACTACAACTACTACTGCCAACAATCATAATGGTAGTAGTGATAAACGAATACGCTGTGAACAAAATACAGTTTTATGCATTTTAACTTCACCCCTCAACTACTCTTCAGCTTATAATCCAAGGAATACATGCTATAACAGTAATCGTCTTTTATCACCAACTACACTGACCACTTCATCAATTGCCTCCAGAGTGAAATGGGGAGCAAATTTAACACTACAATCAAATTCCACTTCTAATTATCATGATTTCAATGAGACAAAAATTTCTTATCCTATGAATCAATATCAGTCTGAGATGAGCAATAAAGAATTGAGTCAACATATTGTTAATGGTTTCAATAGCCTACCAACAGGGATTAGAAAAACTTCTCCAGATGAGTTGGATAGAATAATTCTACATCCTAGACCTAGGATACCTCCGAAACGTTTGGATTTAGCCAATCAAGATCTTGAATTGGCTTTAAAAAGGGTAAGATATTTGTTGTTTCAGACAAATTTATTGGGTTTTTTATGGTATTGAATTCATAAATTCCTATGAAATCCCTTTACTATTGTTTTATTGCACAATGAAACAGTATTATGTGTAACGACCGGTTGTCAGTAGGTTTTCGTCTAGCCTATGAATAAGTTTTTACACGTGGGAGAGATTCACGTAGACGACTGTGAGGGCAACGGTGAATATGAGAGCCTGGAAGAGAAAAAACGTGGACCAGTGACTCAGCAAGCAAAAACAATATACTTACAACATTTAATTATAAAAGATGATCGCCAGATGGTAGGGATTCATAAAGGAAATATAAGGCAGTTTAGAAATCGAAACTAGAAAGTGGATTATGTTTTGAGCAGAATTTATTGCTCATAATTATAAAATTCATTGATAGAATAACTCCATATACTCGATTGTATGCCGTGTAGGAAAATAGACATTCATGTATAGCATAAATCGAGGGATACGATGAAAGAAATGAACAATTTTTATAGGTCAGGTGGTAAGACAAAAGGTTTGAATTGGGTGTTCAAATTGTGAATGGATTAAGGATGCATTATGCTATTCGAATTGAATGAAATGAGAAGTGAAAGGCTAAAGAATCATATGAATATCCTGTAAAAACTAAGTGATAAAAATAATAAAGATAATGCCATATAGGTGAAAGATGAATAGTCTGAAAATGGACTAGATAACAATAAATTGGTTACTCTGTGACTACAGTACTAGGTGATGTGGGTTTGGATCTCAGGCGGGATATGAGTTCTGTTACGGTTGCAAATACACCCTGTTGACGAGTACCAACAAGCCTAAAATCTGGGCCAAGCAGGGTTTCTTACTGATTATGTTATTCTAATGAGAACAGTTACCAGTAGGAGTTTTATGTGAGTGATGAGTTAGGTATCATAAGAAAACCAGGTCTAAAATGAAAATGCAAATGGTAACAGCAATAATAGATGCCAGGTCAATTCAACAGAACAGGCTGAGGGAAAGTCAAGAACAACCGGGTAGGGGTTATATTTGAAGGCGAAAAATAGGTGTTGCTGTTACTACCACAGTAGATTCAAACTGATTAGTTGAGTTGTACAGACTTCTGAAGAAACCGTTGCCATCAATGGGATCCACTTCACAACGGGGACAATTTTGATGGTGTTTTGTTCCCTGAGCTGGATGCAAATAAAAGAATCTTGCAAAGTTATGCACCATTGTGGAAAACTAGAGAAGAAAGTCAAACAACCAGATTCAATATACACAGTCAGCAACCCTACCAATCAGGTTAGACTTAGGCAGGGAAGTACGTTATCAACATTTATACTTAGCCTATCACTTCACTTCCTTATTTAGATCTGATCCACTGATGACAGTGTCTATCATGACACTGAAAGCCGTGTTGACTAAACTCAAGATTGGAGAATAACTTATTCTGAGCATTTACACACTGAGCCACAAGTCTTGACTCGATGGCACGGTTGTGCTCTAATGGTGAGTAAAATGTATGTGTGTGTTTGTGCAGATTTCAATGTACAGTCCAACTGCACACAAGATTGATAATCGAACTGATCACTTCACGGTCACAACTTAATACGATTGACTCACTATGATCGACCAGTGACTATTCACAGTACAAACTGAATACAATCGAAAGGCTGAACTGCTAATCCACTGTTTGCATACATTTCTAAACAGTATACAGACTAACGAACTGGGACATAACTTAAGCACTAATTAATTAGACCAGCCACTCATATAAAATAATACGACCAACTAACCTCCAGATGACTAATAGCCAGCCACGCATAGTGTATGGGTATGCAGCTAGCCTATAATTTTCTGCCTACCCGACTTAATAAGTTATTTGCAGCCGAATACCTAGGCTAATGAGGTACAGTTTCAATGAAATTCTTCTGTTCTCTATTTCATAAGTCTGATCTATAAAGGACTATAAAATCCAGAATGAGATTATTATCATGGTTATAAATAGATTTATTTGATAGGAAAAATTAAAATACTATGAAACTTATAGTTATGTAATTCAGTTAGTTGTGAATAGATGTAAATTTGAGTAAGAAAATTCTTCTTACTGTTTATTCCTTCTGATTAAATGACTACCATTGTTATGCTAGTCCACTTACTGATAATATTGGCAATTAGAATAACCACTTGAAGCTTACATATGCCATCAATGATCACTATCAATACCTGTAGATTTAGTAGTATATCCCTTTTTGTACTATTGATAATCATGCAAAAACCTGTTCTGATAGTATTGTGTTCTCTGAGTTGGATGATTTAATCGAGAAGCTTTCATTGTCATTCTAGACAACATCAACAGCATAAACTTCAGAAAGAAGTGAACTATGAAGTTTTCTCCACAAATAGTTTACTAGTTTATCCTGATGGCCTTCTATGTGATTAGTTGTTTTTGCTAACGTTTTAACATTGTATCGTAGAGGTAATAGATTAGTCACATAATTTTATCAGATGTTTTTATTTTCTGAATAGTTCTTTTAATCATATTGTATGCTGGAGTTGGTGGGATGTTTGTTTTGTGTATTTTCATCTACTAATGTTCATTTGCTACTGCTTTTGTTTTGTAATTTGTCTCACTTAGACAAGTTTGTCTCATTTGGTTGATATATATTTCGCTGTAGTCGTCTTTATCCACGGTAACTGTAGTGTGTCCTTTATCATCTGGAAATATAATGATGTTTTTTTTTATTCTTCAGTCTGTTGATAGCTGTATGTTCTTCACTGGCTAATTGAGTAGAATTTTTCTTCCATTTAGCAAAAATCACTACTATTTGTTGTATTTCTTCTTTGGTTTCATTGATTAATTCTGAAACATGAATTCCTTGGACTTTCTCAGAGTTTGTCTAAACAAGTTAACTGCACAGTCACTTGCTCTTTTCCCTTGTAATCTTGTGGTTTTTGAATTTTGGGTAGATTCTCTTTCGAAGGATGACTTTTCCCTTTGCTATCTCCCTGATTTTTCGATAGTAGTTGTTGACATTGTAAAGTGTTCTGTTGTGAATATCCTCTGAAGCTTTGTCTTCAGACTCTCGTTAAGGTGTTGATTGTTTCGAAGTTTGTGCTAATGATGTTGTCCAGCTTAGAGAACACAACAAATTTGTTCCCAGTAGAAAAGGATAATGGGAGTAAATATACCTTTGTATGTCATTCGCCTTAACAGAAAAAAAATCATTCTCTTCAAAAATCAGAAAACATACATGTAGAGAAAAGTGGGAAATCATATTTCTGAAACTATCTAATGGATAGCCTAATTTAGAGAAGAGAAATTCGTCGAGAATATTTTTTTGAAACTTATCTCGAATTACGATAAAATTTAGCGAATTCCATCATTGGATTCGGATCTATTCAGTGTTAAAACCTTGAAAAGTTCTTAGAAGTGCAATGCTCATTGACTCTTTTATTCTAGATATTTAGTTTCAAGTTGTGATTTGATCCATCTATGGAGTTGTGTGGGTCAGTTGTTGAAAGAGTTGGTTTTCAATCATGGTATCATGAGTTCATACACCACCCTAACCCTACCGAGGTTTGGGTAACCAGATAGTATCATTAGTCCCCACACAACAGGTTTGGCTCATTGCTTACTGGATGGATGTGCACAAGGTTGCTCACTGGATTTGGACTCCACTCATTTAACAGATTTTAAGGTTGCTTCATCATGCAAGAAACTGTGAGGAGCGAGGAGATGAGCATACACTGGCTGGATCAACAAAAAGACCCTAGGAGATTTGGATTTCGACGATGAGGATTTATGTCTAATGTCACACAAACTCGAAGATTTACAGGCGGAAAATAAAAAGTTGACAGTAGAGGCGAAGCAGAGAAGGAAGATGGGACTTCCTGCAGGTGAACGTAGAGAAGACAGAGTCGATGAAGATACCCAACCAACAACAACAAGCATCATGGACGAGAGAATTCTGAAGGAAGTTGTCTCTTTCATCTATTTTTCTACCTAGGCAGCATCGTTTCAACTACAGGCGGCCGTGGCGGCACAGATGAGGATGTCAAAGCAACCAACATCGGAAAGACAGCAACACAGGCCTTCACTAACCTGAAGTCAGTATGGAGATCTACTGCACTACACTGCACTACACTCAGCATGAAGCGTGAACAAGATCCAGATTTTCAACACTGATGTCAATCAAATCAGTCAGTGCTTCTATGTGATGGTTGAGAGAGTTGGCTTGTTACGAAAATCATTTGCAACAAACTGGAGACACTCATCAACAGCTGCCGCCTACGCTCACTCCATACTGACACCGAGGATCAGATGACCCTCTTAATAAGGATAAGCAACAAGGAACTCTGTCAACGAACCAACCAACAACCTATCACCCAACAAATATGCAAAAGGAGAAAGTGGAGATGGATTGGATTGGACATACACTGAGAGGACAGTTTGGAGACATAACACCAGGCCAGGCCAGACTTGGCCGTCGAGTGGAAGCCGAATGGGGAACAACCAGTTGGGCATGCAAGTCGAGGGTGACATGGAGGAGATGATTTGAGGAAGAAATGAAAGTTTGTGAGGAGTGGTGGAGCCAGTTTGAGAATACTTCAGAGAAGAGAGTGGAATGGAGACGTGTTACTGAAGCTGTGTGTTCCACTGGAACCCAAGGGAAAAATAATAATACTAATAACCAATAATTGTACTTGATAATATAAAACTTTAAATCTCTATCCATTTTTAATACAGTCAATGTAAAGTGGAGTGTTCTCTAGCTGCCTTTTACTTTAGAATAATCTGAAAGACGAAATTCTGCATCTATCTACCCCTGTGCGTAAATCATTCCGCCTGCTTCTGTGGAGCTGAGTATATTGTTCATTAGATGTAAGTCCTGTTCGAAAGGGTTCAAGAAGAGGCAGTAATGGAACACAATGTCGACACTGATCATTCAATTTCAATAATTATCCCCTTTCAAAGTTACTTACAAAGTGAAAAGAAAGCTGCTGAAGTCAGTACCCATCTACCTTTTCGTATTACTGAAAATTTAGCAGTTCAGATAGAAAATGCTGAGCTTTACATACAAAGAGGCTTGTTAAACCCTTACTACTTTTATGGTCTTCATCTTAAGAGTTTCAAGATGTTCCTCTCTTCCAACTCTTTCATTCTACTCATTTCTTGCGTATTATCAAGCAGTTCATCCAATAAATATTTTGACATGTTACTCAACTTGTTATTCAGACTTAATCATATTACTAAGTTTCTATAATATCTTGAGCAATGATAACTAATCTTAGCAACCCCGGTCCAGTGGTCACTAGTTCGAATCCTGCCGCGGTCCAAATTTTCACTCCATCTTCAGTCATCACCCCGTATCAATACTAGTCGGCCAAACCATGACTATCTCAGATAGTCAGAATGATAATTTAACTTTACTTGTTTCTATATGTTTCCATTACTGTTCGATTTTTTATATGTTTTACCTTGTTTGTTGCTATGTTTAGCTAATTGCCGTCGCACATGTGCAAAATTTTACATTCTCACCCAGAAAAACTGTCTATAAATCCGATTATACAGCTAAGTGAATGAATTCGCCGAAAAAGTCTCTTCACTGAACAAATTTTTTTTATCTTTTTTCTTAATGAGGATTTTTTGGAAACTTTTTTGTAGGCATATAAGAGGAAACTATCAAAATCTCACCTACTTTGAAAAGAAAATATTGTTTATATAGTTGTGTTCAGATTATTCTATACCAGCAAATTAACTGGATATTGTTTACCTCTCATTCTTATTGTTTCTTTGTTGCAAACCAATCTCCTTTTCATAATATGCTGACGTGTATTATCAACTACTTATATTTTATTCAGTAGCCTAAATTCTTTTAAAAAATTGAATGAGTAGAAATTTTTAATTTGCTTTAAATTTCCTGTTTCTTAGAGTCTCAGTGATTGTACAATGCGATCACCTAATAACAGTTACTATAACAGTTCAATTAAGAAATCTCTACCGTATACAGTTAGATTAAAAAATCAACGCAATGTGAACAGAGATTCAACAAATAAAAATCTTGCACATCGAAGAAAAACAGTTATCCGTCCAAAAAGAAGGCGGCATCGACCATTCACTTCACGCCGTCAGAAATCTAAAAATGGAAATATTGTAAGTACTTTTTAAAAAATTTGGTATCATTTTTTTTCTAGGCGCTGAAATCTATAGACTTTCTTTCTCTTCAATGATTATATTTCCACAAGCAAAACTGATCTACTTGTTAGTGTCTATCAGTAAAATCCGGGACGAGCGTTTCGTCCTATTTAAGACTTGTCAGGTAGATGCAACCGCACTCCAGTAGGTGGTTTTGCTCTCACTGAGACTTGAAACCGACACACATCACTTCGTACGCCGACGCGTTATCCATTAAGTCACTGGTTTGAGTCTAAAAGTGGATGGTTCTAATGGGAGAATGTACTTTTCTGAATGGTGATTCATGAAGAGTTAGGGTTATATACGTATTATAAATTGAATAATAGTGAAAATCTCAATTATACAATTTATCTTATTGGTAAACGTTAAGGCCCAATGGCACCGATTTACATGTAGATAAGTATCAGGGATTTAGAGCTGAAGCCAAAGTGCTGATATGCTCATTCACCTGAGCAAAGTTATTGATTGACATCAATTTAAACGTCATCTTCAGAACTACCTTTATGCAAAGTAGCTACAAATACATACCATCTCATGTCATGTCAAGAGTGATGTGTGTGTGTGTGTGTGTGTGTGTGTGTGTGTGTGTGTGTGTGTGTGTGTGTGTGTATTAAGTTCGTTATATTTGAAGTGAATAAAAATCAGTGAATTTAAAACGAGTTTTGTTATAATGAATTCACTTATTGACAATTGAAACATCTGTTGTTTTAAATAGTTCTACTAGAGATAAACAAACTTTTATTATTCTATTTAAAGGTTTGTGGAGATTTATTAATTGATTTCAGGTTGGAATTCATCATGAATTGACATTAGTTAGCGGAACATTGGAAATTAGGAGTGTCGGACAACTGTTTTGTCCTACTAGTATGGGATTCTTTAGCAGTGCGAACCCATGACCCTGTCGGGAATCAGCTGTCCAGGTTTTCAATGTTCCTCCAACTGATGTTAGTCTATGATGAATTCTGACTTGAAAATTTTACTATTTATAACAAATGGATTGACACTCTAAACTTTACAAAGGTTTTTTAATCTTGATTCACATAATCTTTAACAATTGATTGATTGAAAGGAAAGGTTATCAGTGGAAAATGTCTTTCTCAGTTTCTTTCGACATTGATTCCGATTACTTTGACTTTTTTTATCCTTTTCCTCACATCAGATTAGGGAAGATAATTCAAATAAGCAGTATGTTGGTAAAATTTTACATTCAGTCAGGAAGTAATCTGTTTGGTGGCTGCTAGTGGAATCCAGGACGCGCGGTTCGTCCTATTTGGGACTCATCAGCCGTATGTATCTGCACCCCAATGAGCGATGTTGTTCCCACTGAGACTCTAACCCAGTGCTCATCTCTTCGAAAACCAGAGCATTATTCAGTAGATGAATGGGACGTGACAACCACCTCTTTTGCAATGGATATCTTCCCTTGTTATACAGGGTAGAATTACTCGGCGAAACGCTTGTCCTAGATTCCACTATTAGCCACCGAATTAATGAATAATTGGATAGTATTAACGCATTTCCATAGGAAGCCATCTGCCAACAGAGATCGGGCAATTCAATACAGTATAGCAACGGGAGATTATAAGTATCAAACAATAAAGTCAGGAAGTAGTTTGTAATGTAAGAGGATGGTTTCAGTTATTATGAGTCATAAGCTGTGTATCTTTCGAAAATGCATGATAAATTTATACGCTGCTGTGTGAAACTGCATATATCGTGTAATAAATGGAGGCATATTTAATCTTAAAGGATCTGATGAACTATAATAGTAGAAAAATATACATTATTCCATCTTGATGTTATAGTTTGTAGTTCCCCGTTGTTGTTTATACCGGGTCAGTTGACCACTATCTGCATACGCACTTCTGTGAGGATACCTGGATATTGCGAGTAATTTTAGCTTGATAGTAATGACAGATAGTGGATTGTAGTGGAATTCAGGAAGAGTTTCGTCCTATTTGGTACTCCTCAGCTGGATGTGAGTAATGTTGTTTTTACCGAGATTCTAATCCAGTCTTCATCACTTGATACAGTGGTTATCGTAACCTAGCAGCCTAGTGGATAGCACTCCGGTACCTCAATTAGTGGGAGTTGGGTCCAAGTGTTAGTGGGAATGATAACAGTCATTGGTCGGCAAACAATGCAGCTGATGAGTCCCAAAGAGAACGAAACGTAAGTTCTGGATTCCATTGCTAGCCACTACCTGTCCTTACTGTCAAGACTCCCCTTTACCAGTAAAAATTATGACATGGAGATCATTTATTAAGCTCCATTCCTTTACACATAGCATTGTGCCTTGTTGATATAGTGGATAATGCTTTGGAGCTGTAGTTCATCGGTTTATTCAGTTGCATTTCAACCAATGAGTCATGGGTCAGACATCGCTCCACTTACTGATGTTTGGGCAGCCAAGTAGTACACTAGCCTTCACACGATAGATATGCCTCATTGGCTACTACACGAATGTGCACGAGGTGGTGTTTCGATGCATTTCTATGCGATTTTCGACGCATAGCATAACCTATAGTTTTTCTAGGCTAGAGGGATCTCAAGAGAAAAGCTCTCTTTTGCTTCTCATTTCAGTACATAGAAACTAGTATGAATAGCAGACAAGATGGATCTTTTGTCTCTTGACACGATGACTTTATTGACTGTACATTACCTATGATCTTACACTATTCCCCTATCCGTTTTTATACTAGACTATCAGACTGCTGTTTACTACTCTTGCACTAGTCATAATCAGATCCATTTTTGTGTACACGTGAATTACGAACTTGAAAAATTCTGTGCTTTATAGGAATGAAATGGGTGACTTTTTATACAGGAAATGTAGTTACACATATTAAAAGTAACTTTTATCAACGGATAGTCATTTGAGAACTGCATGTCATTTAGGGAAACGTAGACTTCTCGGCTGCAGTCTGAGTGATCACAGAGATGAGTGCTTGAAGACTCTAGGTGCCATCGTTCAGAATGGATATCATTAGGGTAGATATATGCATATATTATCCTCATCTTAATAGTCAGACTAAACTCAGTAACTCCTTATTCCTCCTTGTTACGTTGTCATAACTTTCTATCATGTTTGACTATTTTCTTCTTTGTTTCTTGATATGCTGAGGTGTAGCAACTTGGACAGTTAGTTACACAGCAATATCCAGTCCTATGTTGATCTTATCTGTTTGTTATACGAAAATAAAGAAAGCGTCAATGCGTAAATCAAAACATCTTCCACAGTAAACAAAATGAACTAAGCAGTTTTACATCAAATCTTGAGAAAAACTTTTTGTCAGAAACAAACTGTCGAACTCTACAAGAAAGTACATCATTCCACGTTCTCACATTTCACAGCAGCCATTCAATGATCATAAAATTACACAATAGCGTATACAACAGTAAAGGAAAATAACTGAACAAAGGCTAACTATGATAATTTAGTTGGTTGAGGCTAGCAGAAGAATCCTGGACGCTCATTTCGTCCTAGAGGTCGAACAATTCGATCCAACAAAACAACGGAGGATAAAAAGTATGCCAATAAATAGTAATTACTACTACCCGTTGTACAAGAAGTTGCTATCGTCCCTCCATGGCATAGTGGATAACGCCCTGACGTTTGAAGCGACAGCTACGAAGTTCGAGTCCCAGTGAGAACAACATCACTGAGGTGCAGGTACATCCAGCTGACGAGTCCCAAATAGGGCGAAACGCGCGTCCCGGGTTCTTCTGCTAGCCACAATCAACCAAATTATCATAATCAACATCCAGGCAATATCGAGGCATCCACATAGGGACCTATATGCCAATAGAAGTCGAACAATTCGATCCAACAAAACAACGTAGAATAACAAGTATGCCAATAAATAGTAATGAACAAAGGTTATTGAAAGTGTTCACGGTTTCCAGGAAGACATATACACCACAAAGGTCGATTTTAAGTTATTACATCAGAAGTCTCCAGCCACTGGTTCCTATCCTCCTTCGAGGACTCCTGTTAGCTTTCACTCAGATATTAGGAGATACTTGGTTAAATTTAGTTAGTAGTAGTAATTCAGTGGCATAATTAAGACACGCTATTATCGTTAAAATACCTCGACATCAACCTAAACGCTAATCACGATGACCGTTACTAACCATGACTAAGTTATTTATATTTTGGCTACTTGTGACTATTTTTCCCGATTTCTCTTGTAATCTGTTGATTTTTATCTACCACTTCTATGTTTTTATGTTTTCTGTTCATTTTAGAAAAGTCAACATCAATTTAATGAAGACTTTTTTACAATTAATTCAGTAGATAACAGTTTTTTCTCGAATTACTCAAATACTATTTCCGAAGATTCTGAAATGAATAACCCTAATGAACATAGTAGAATTGTAAATGAACAGATATCACGTCTTCCGTTGCCAAAAATTACTTTGGCTAAAAATAGTGATGGAGAATTTAATGTAGTTGGAAATCGTAACGAAAATATCAAATTCTCTGATATTATTAATGAAGAACGTAAAAGTACTACTCATAAAATTGTTAGTAGTACAAGTAATGATTCTGAAAATACAGATATTAGTGATTGTTCACCTAATACTACAATAATATCATGTAAATATTTAAAACGTAAAGCTGTGAATAAAGAACGCACAAATTATCCTCCCAATAAAAGAGCAATGAATACAATTTCTCAGAGGATTCCAGAATTTGTCCAAAAATCAGACTATAATGTATATGATCTATCTATGGAAGATGTTCAACAAGATATAAATTCAAAATTCGGATTATCTGAAGGGATAGAAACTTCAAAATCTAGTAAAACTGAAGAACTAAACTCTTCATTTACAAATGACTATGAATGTAAATTTATTGGGAATAATGTTCCATCATTGCAGCCTGCGAATATCCCATCGACTTCATTACCATTGTTATCACAACAAACAGAAACTCTTGATCTTCATGAATTCAATAGGTAAGTTTCTGAGTTTACTGTACACATATATACAAAAGTATAATTTGCTTTTGAAATGGTGGAGAATATTTGTAACTCAGGTGGATGGTCTTGGTTGTATTGTGTTCTCTGAGCTGAATTGTTTACTCGTGGAGCTGTCATCGTCTTTCTAGACGACATCATCAGCACTAACTTCAACATGAAGTGAGCTATCATTATCTCTCCATGAGTGATTCAGTAGCTTGCTGTGACTTACTGGTTTGTGATACGTTGCTTCCTTTGATTGTTGTGTCATGGACTGCATAGATTTTCCTCTGCTCCACGAGTAAACAACTCAGTTCGGAGAACACAATACAACCGAGATAATTTGCTTTTGTTATATGCAATTCTAAATAAAGTCGATCCTACCTGAATGCATCGCACATTTAGCCAGTATTGATATATGGGCTCCTGTGTCGATGCCTCGATATTGGTTGTATTTTCAGTTTGATAGTAGTGGTGGATGGTCGCTAGTAGTGGAATCCAGGATGTACTTTTCGTCCTACTTGGGACTCATCAGCTAGATGTACCTTCCTTTCAGTGACTGATGTTATTCGCAGTGGGACTCGAACCTAGGATCGGCTGTTTCAAATACCACAGTATTATCCACTGGGTCACTAAGTCACGATAACCACTGGGATATCTGCTGTCCCCGTCGCAAAAGCAGTGGGTATGGTGACTCAGTAGCTCTGGCGTTTCAAGTGATTGATTCTAGATCCGAGTCTCAGTGGGAACAAGATCACTCACTGGGAGGTAGATAAATCTGACTGAAGAGGCCAAATTGGAGAAGATACATATCCTGGATTCTATTACTAACCACTACCCATCATTGATATGTATAGGGTTCAGTGTAAACTGTTAGTTGAATAAAATCAATTTCTACTTGGGAAAAATACAACTAATTTTCTTAAATTCGGAGGTTTTGGGGAATTTAGTGATTTTTCAAGTTGAAATTCGTCATAGATCAACATTGGGAACCTAGGAGCACTGGAAGGCTATTTCGTCCCAGTATGGGACTCCTCAGTAATGTGCACCCACCAGCCCACCAGGTTCCTTGGGAAGGTTTCCATTGTTTCTCCAACTGATATCAGTTCATGATGAATATCAATTTGAAAAAAATGACTAAATCCCTACAACTCCCGAATTCAGTTGAACTACTATTCATTAGTGACTGGCTCCGAGAGGTTATTGTTGAAGTTCCAGTGAGAAGTTGTGACCAGTGGGGCGAATCTAGTAGCTGTGAGTAAAAATAGTCAACGATGACATTGGGTGATGATAGCGCTATGTCATGAACTGATAGAAGTTGGAAATATGGACCACTGAACTCCGATTCAGTGGCTGAGTAGTAACTTGCTGACCACGGGACCTTGAAGGTCCTGGGTCCGATACCTGGAGGACTGATGGGTGCGCACTGCTGAGGAGTCCCATACTAGGTAGAAACAGCTGTCCAGTGCTTCCAGGTTTCTAGTGTTCTTCCAAATGATGTCAGTCCATGATGAATACCACATTGAAAAAACTAGTTTTCTACCGTTTGGTTTGGTAAATAGGTGCCAATGAATACAGGGGTTTTTCTAACACCTTTTACCATGGAGAATTTGTATGTACTCTAATCTGTTTTAGAAACAGATTGTTTTCTTAGAAGTTAATGTAAATTCAACTCAGAGTTCTCATCTAATGATTCTAGTTAGATAGCCTTCGAGTAACTAACCAGTATCACTGAGAAATGAAGCTGTTGCAATCCAAATGTGTACTGTCAGTGACTCATTACCGTAGTAAACAATTTTGTTACTGAATAGAATATATTCAGAAGATTTATAATCTCTTAACTCGATAGTTATTCAAAGTTTTCTTGTGAATTGGTCAAGAAATACATTTAATCTATCAATTCTAAGTAGAACAATGCTAGAACATTCATCACTTTTGAATGTCTTTCAGATATCTTCAAGGGAGGGGATCCAAACGAAACATAGACAAGTCATTAGTTTTAAGATATTTAAAATTTTTCTTTCCATCCACCAATTGCTAAGTAATACCTTAGAAACTAACTTCGTTCAAATATTATGGAGTTATAGAGAAAGTAGTTAAGTTGGATTTTATGCTTATGATTATTGATTAGTTAAGATGGGAAAATATTAGAAAGAGGTCAGGGGGCTGTGGTAAAAATAAGCAAGTTGTACAATTTTTTAATCATCAGTATGGTTGGGTACATATGAATTGAACAGAATGGAAGATTTAAGACAAGAGAATTTTAGATTTGAAGTGTCTATTCATCATGGACTAATATCAGTTAGGGAAGCATGGAAAAACTGTGAGGGCTGGACAGCCTTTTCAAACCCATAAGTGATAGAACCCATTTTTGTCAGTTCACGATATATAGCACAACCTCCATCCAATACCATCATTGAGTGAGTAACTGTCCTCACATCCAAATTGGTTCATCCCACCGGTCACGACTTCTCGTTAGAACTTTGGGAAGTCTCATCTCGAAGTAAGTCACTTATGCTTACTGGAAAGTTATTGAATTTAGAAGTTGTTGGAGGGGAGGAGGGGGGGGGTATTTGTCTATAGATATCAATTAGTTTAACTGAATTAAATTGAAAATGAATGCTCACTGTAAGCGCATTTAAAAATGAAGAATGAAATGTATTAAATAATCAACTTGAAACAAACAAATCCTCCCTTTTTATATATTCGTGAAATTACAGAATTGCTTAGTAATATTTAATCGAAAGTGTTGTGTTATCAAGTTTAGTAGCTACATTATCAGGACTATAGCAAAAAAAGACTCATTTCCAAGCTACGTGAGGGATTATTGATTGTGAGACATAAGATCAGTTGACGCTTCCTGGCTACCTACTTTCTGGAACGTTATTTCTAGATATGACTGAAAAATAAATTGGATTAGTAAGCGTAGTTTTATGGACTTGGATGTGTAACTTCAAAGTTCAACCGAACTCTTATTGAGTTCAATGAAATTTGGTCTTTTGAAAGATTTTCCCTTTGAATTTACCTATCTTACATTTGCTTACTGTCAACAGTTAAGGCATGATGGAGTGTTCTGTGTTAAGGACTGAATTTTGTAATCTTTTCTTTCGATCAAAGAAGGATGGGATCAGCTTTGAATGCCAATTATCTTTGGGAAACACTTTACTATTACTGCTTCTCTTATAGGGTGGCAGTACAATTTCTTCCTCATTATGGTGGTAACTGATTTCAGTTTCAACAATGTCTAGTAAACCTTTCTGGTACAATGGGACGTGACAGACAGACCTGACCATAACACCAAGAAAGCAGCTGTTAGTTTCATAAACGGGCAGATTACTAGTTTTATTCAGTAGGTTGATTTCTGGAGGACTGATCGCTTTCAAGACAGTTCTCATTACGGCTTGAAATTACCTAAAGAATCATCAACTTCCAAGCAGTAGCTAAATCGTATTGTGTCTATTCCAAGGATTGTCAGTCTTAGGTTAGATCCCATATGCAGTAGTGGATGTGCACTGCTGATGATTCCCAGGCTGAGATCAAGCACTTGTCCAGTATTCTCTAGATTCCGTAGATCACGGTAAAAACTGCTTGAAAGTATCAGTTTTATTTCATTTCTAGTAAACACAACATTGATAAAGCAGTAATAATAGTAATGGTAGTAATAATACTCACTTTATTTCAAACAATTTTTGATATAGTGATGGATAGTGGCTAGTAGTGGAGTCCAGGATGCGCTTTTTGTCAGCTGGATGTACCTGCCTTCTAGTGAGCTATGTTTCCACTAAACCTTGAGCTCGGGAAGATACAGGCATTATGAAGGCATCCACATGGGAGCTCATATACCAATACAGACCGATCAGTTCGGTCCAGCCGACGACGGGACAATACAAGCAACATCATATAATTGTTAATACAAATTGGAATTCTTAGCATGTAATATTGCAATAAAAATATATATTCCTGTTCAGAATTTTGAATGGTATCCATTATAGTAATTTGAACTATGTGAATAATATAAGTAACAAGGAAAAATATACATTAATGGTTAAAATATTGGGAAGACTGATTATTTCTTGTTACAAAGTTGATAAATGAGTTCTGTTCCAACACCTTTTTTGTCACATAAGGCACAACCATCCGAGTGTACAGTCTTATGTAATTTCTTGTCCTCCCTGAGGAAATTACAATGAGAGATAAGAGAACAAAGAGGATACTCAGTACCCGATAAAATGACTGTAGCTAGTTCCATGCTTGAATTTAAATGCTTATCTACTACAGTGTTAATCTGTTAAACTCAGACGGTATACCACTTATCCTGCTGACAGTTTTAACGTCCCTACTCAGTATGACAGCAATAAAGAAGAGTAGGTAAAATACAGTGGCAACTTCTTTATGCATTAGGTTAAACGAAAGATTTTCATGGAAGTCAACAGCATATCAGATAACCAGCACAGATCAGAAAAAAAAATTCGATTCGAGATAGGTAACACTCGATTTACTTTCTGCAGTAATACCATCGATACTACAGAGGTCATAGAACCGAAGCAGCTCACACAAGTTTTGCTTATACCTAAGACAAAGATTATGGATGTGACACTTAGAAGGGGTTAGCTTGAGACCGTTTGAGAAAGAAGACTACTGGTCAATTTCAGATAAGAAACCATTCGTTTGATAACAGTCTGACTGAGAGATAACGCATAAATACCGTGACAACATCAGTATACTTGGTAGAACTAATTTTAATAGTAAGCAAAAAGAAAGAAGATAGAAATGGAGGAAATATTCCACTATGAAGGAAACTGGCTTCAGTCATTTCTTATAGTTTTCTGTAATCATATAAGTTTTTATATGTATGACTTTGACGAAGAAGATGAGGCTCCATAATGGACTTTATAGTTGGCAGGCGAATTCTTAGATTGATTAGTATAGACTATGTCGTCTTTTGACTTCCTAATTAGCAAATAATTAATCTGTAAACTGGATGATTGGATGAATTTTACTTACTGATACTTCTGTTCATGTTTAAGCATGATAAAGTTGATTACTTCACACTTTCTTTTCATGTTTCCTCCCTTCTAACAGTTCTTTGGTCTCTTCTGCTGCTGTGGAACCTGTACAGTCTGTAGTAAATGTAAGTGATACACTTGTCAGTCGATTTAATTACTTAACAGATTCTGTTACTTCCCCACACTGATGACAAATGCAGTTTATCTTTATTTTTTTAGTTGGTATATTTGTATGTTTGTGTATTTATAGACATGCATATGTGTGGTGCGATATATGGTCCTTCCCCCCATATGAATCATATACTGCTTTAGTTAGGTGGCTTCGTACTTAGCGGTACTCATCAGCAAGGTGTATCTGCAACCTCCAGGGAACTGATTTCCCCTCAAATATCACTACCTGTATGATGCACTACTTCAATCAGTCATAATCGTCTATCTTGGTGATTCACTTAAGGCTAGGTAACATAGGATTGATTACACCCTAGTGACTGATCCAGTGTAAGTGATTTCGTGTCTCTGTAGTGGCTGGTAATCTCTTTGTTACAGCCAGCTTATTGTTGCAATAGCTGTTTAGTATTAAATCAATGAATTGAGAAAGTGTTTGATGAATCTAAAGATTGTTTCCACTGTGAATCCGTAAGTTTATGAATCCTAGGCGATAGCTGCTACCTTTGACGTGGTGGTTCAGCTTTTAAATCACAAAGACCTAATGAGCTACACAGACTGGAGTGGACATGATGTGCCAAGCCATACTGGGGCGTTGAGTGGAATCGAAAGGGGGAAGGATGAGTTGGGCGTGTGAGTTGAGGGTGACATGGAGGAGATGATGTGAGGAAGAAATGAGAGTTTGTGGTGGAGTGGTGGAGCCAGTTTGAGAATACTTGAGAGAAGAGAGTGGAATGGAGACGTGTTACTGAAGCGGTATGTTCCACTAGGAACCAAGGAGACAAATAATAATAATAATAACTTGATAGTTATCAGTTCTAAAGTCTTATTACTCATCTTCAGTCATAATGCCTGAAGATGTTTGTAATGTATAACTTGATATTCATTAGTAAGCTCTATTTAAATCAAGTATACAACAGATACAATCAATTTTTCCATTTTTCACATGATAAACAATGAAATGACAGTGTTCAAGTTTTTATCATGATATATTAGTATCTGATTAATTTTACACTTTCGATTGTTTCTTCTTTGTTGTAGAATATTCCAGTTAATTCTTTTGTCCTTACAACAAATAACAACACTTCATGCATTCATTCTACAAATTCAATCAATAGAGATCTAAATACTAAGTATTTATCACCATGTAAGTTTTATGTATTTTCATAAAAAATGATTTATATATCTATGTTATGAAATGATTTCATGTGATACTTAGTTGATTTATAGTTTTAATGAACAGGTGAAGATAGAAACCTAGAATGAAATCCTTTTTGTTTCTTCACTACAAAGATTGTTCTTACAATGTATTGGAAAGACTTCAGTGTTTAGTATGCGTTTTAAAATTAAAGCTACCGATTCAGCTGATGCCTATCATCGGTACTTACTTTATGAAGTAAGATAGTCAAATACATCGATTAAGTTGCCTATCTAAAGAGATGAATGTATTAGTTTGAGGGAGATGAAGGTGGAAGAAATTCATGGGATATATATTATCCATTGATTGATCTTAGATGAGCAACCAATTTTATGTTGTCTAGTTCTGAGTGTACACCGAATTCTGTTGAACATATTTACAATGTGTCCATCAAGCTAGGAGGCTCAGCATCACGGTACACATTGGTAGATGTTAGTTAGTTGGAGGCAGTCGATAGGAAGCCATGGACTTAGATTTCATGCTTGTTGGCACTCGTCAGCCAGGTGTATCTTCAACCTCGACACAACTGATGTCCCACCGTCACCTACGTTGCCATTGAGCTATTCAGGTCGTGACTGACTTCCTGTAGGAATAGATCAGATACATTCATTGGTCACTGAAGAGAAACTGGTTTTATGTTGTCTAGTCCTGAGTGGTGACTGAACTGTATCGATCATATTTGCAATATGGTCAGTCGCGGCCTGAATAGCTCGGTGGTAACATCACTGACTGCAACACTCGGTGAGGGGGGTTTGGATTCCAAGAGGAGCATAAGTTCCGTCAAGGTTCCAGATGCGTCTCTAATCAACTAATATGCATTATCCGCCTTGTAACTCATTAATTCAACTAGTGATGACGGAAAAAAACATCTGTTTAACTACTAGGCGTTGAGCAAGTGGTGAAGTAGTAGTGCATTATATCCTCCTTCATGTCGATAAAGCAGGATTTAAACGGAGGAGATAACAAATGACCGGAAGTGTTTGGGAGGTTGTCCTTCCACAGCATGATAGTAGCATCAAATGGTCAGTCTATAATAGTTTACACAAGAAAGCTAGATTATTTGATGAGTCTAGGGTTATGCACTAAACAAGATGATATCTATATATGTTACCGACAGAAGATAATCGAAAGTCATTCCCTAAAACCAAGAATTAATTCTATTTTAGTTATTTTCCTCTATTCACTTGTTGATTGGGTTTCTGTATATTTCATATGGCTGCCGCTATATCTGACTGTTGATTAAGGGTCGATCGTACTGTTTTTTCTACTGTATAATTGGGAAACGCGACCACCAAAGGTAGAGATGAGAAGGCTTCTGATGTTTGGTTACTGTTGCTTTCGTAGCGTAAACCCTGTGTGGTGGTGTCACCGAGTGAGTAACTCGGAAGTCCGGTATAGAGTTTTAGGCAGGAGGTTAGTCAGTTGATACGGTTGTGAACTTTCACCAAGTGAGATGTCTGAGGCATATGTTACTATACCTAGCCACCGTCTGCCTCGTTACACAATGTTGACCGGTGTACGTTCAGTCTGGAAAAAGGCTCAGGGTAACCAGACTGAAACATGACATCAATACATGAAGTCATTGACTATTGGTGTGAGCCATGTAGGGCAATACAGATCAGCCGGTTGGGGTCCTAGGGACAGCAGAAGCCAGTGTTTGGTGACTCTAGGTGACATGGCTCAGAACTAGTGTTGGTGACGCAGATGTATACACACTTTATCTTCATCTTAACCGCTATACTTAGTCTCATCATTTTCTCACTCCTCCTTCCTCCTTTTACTACTTTCTACTGCTTTTGATCAATTCTTCTCTATTTATTCATCTTTCATCTTACTGCTTTGTTCCTTGATGTGCTTACATGGGGTGTGCCAACTAAGACTGTTGTGCAGTAATGCCTGGTCCTACGTTGATATTGATTATATTATTATTATTTGTCCCTTGGGTTCCTAATGGAACATACCGATTCAGTAGTACGTCGCTAGTGCACTCTGTTCTCTGAAATCTTTTGATCCTGGCTCCACGACAGCTCAGAAGTTCTCCTTTCTTACTCGCGCGATCTCTTCCATGTCACCCTCGCCTCCAAAGCCCAACTCGTCTCTTCCCATCTGGGTTCCACTTGACGGCCTGGCCTGGCGCCTGATGTCCCCAGTCGGCCTTCTCAGTATATGTCCAATCCATCTCCACTTCATTCTGCATATTTGTTGAGTGATGGGTTCTTGGTTGGTTCGTTACCAGCCAGAGTGAGTTCCTTGTTGCTTATTCTTTCTGGCAATCCATTTGATCTTCACTAGCGAGCGTAAGCAGTTGTTGATGAATGTCTGTAGTTTGTTGATTGATTGATAGTAATTTGAGTTGATGCTCTGTTATGTCAGCTTATACATCATTCATTCAGTCAATCAGTTATCACCTCCTGATGTTCACCGATATTCACCGATATTTGATAAAAAATGGTTTCTGAGAAAATTAGAAAGTTTTGTATCACAATAGTTAGTTGAGAATTATAATACAACAGTCTTAATGGTTTATCAAGTCTATTTAGATCTGGCTATGAGGATGGAAGAAGAAGATTTGGATTTCGCCGATGATTCATGTCTAATGTCTTGTAGCACAAACTCGAAGATCTACAGGTAAAAACCAACAAGTTGACAAAAGAGGCAGCGAAGATGGGACTTCAGGCGGACGTAGAGAAGACGGAGGTGATGAAGATATCCAACCAACAACAAAAACAAGCACCAATTACCATCAACGGGGGAAATCTAGGAAGTAGTCTGCTTCACCTACCTACCTAGGCAGCATCGTCTCAACCACAGGTGGCGGCGGGACAGATGAGGATGTCAAAGCCAGCCAGGATCGGAAAAACAACAAGACAGGCCTTCGTTCATCAATGTGAAATCAGTGTGGAGATCGACTGTAATCAGCATGAAGCGTGAACGAGATCCAGATTTTCAACACTGCTGTCAGTCAAGTGAGTCAGTGCTTCTATGTGATGGTTGAGAGAGTTGGCTTGTTACGAAAATCATTTGCAACAAACTGGAGACATTCATGAACAGCTGCCACCTACACTCACTCGATGATGACAGTGAAGATGAGATGTCCAGAAAGAACAGGCAAGAAAGAAGTCTGGGAGCGAATCAAGCAAGAATCTATCGCCCAACAAATGTGCAGAAGGAGAAAGTGGAGGTGGATTGGAGATATACTGAGAAAAGCGACTGTGGACATGATGTGCCAAGCCATACTGGGGCGTTGAGTGGAATCGAAAGGGGGAAGGATGAGTTGGGCGTGTGAGTTGAGGGTGACATGGAGGAGATGATGTGAGGAAGAAATGAGAGTTTGTGGTGGAGTGGTGGAGCCAGTTTTTGAGAACACTGCAGAGAAGAGAGTGGAATGGAGGCGTGTTACTGAAGCGGTATGTTCCACTAGGAACCAAACGGACAAATATATAAATAAATAATAAATGAGGATAGAAATTTTCTAGAGAATTTATTGTTGTATAGATGAGGAAGAATTAAAAGAATTCTTTCATTTTTTTAAGCAAACCTTTGTTTAACCCTCACTGGGTAGCTAGCTATAATTAGTACAGAAAGTGTTAGAGTTCATTGTCATCACTCATTCCTGTTATAATCTCCCTAATATTTAATGTTTACTTGACCCTTTGTTCTGTCTATCTTCCTTCCTAATGAACAAAACTTCTGCTCGATGATACTGGCGTAAAGTGTCAGATTGTAGAAAATATGTGTCAATCAACCTCCCGATGATTTCTCTTCTTGTCTAATTGAACAGTCCTATGAGGATACGTTGTATCAGTACTGCTGGTCAGTGTTAGATGTAGTTTTGATCTCTCCTTAGTCTTCTACTTGAAAAAAAGGATGCAACTGTATACATTTTAGTGTTAATTAGTTTATACTTACACATTTATTGTGCTTTCTCCGTCAATATTCTACAGAAAATTTGTGATTTTTCTTCCATCAAGCTAGTGGATATCTTAGATTCATAATTATACGTATTTGGATTATTTCTGGACACTGAAATAGGAGACTAATCACTGTTTGATAGCTATATGTTACATCATCAGTCAAATTTCGGTTGAATTTCCTCCAGGCTTATGTCACCGAATATAGCATCTTAGTTTTATATACTCAAATTTCAGAGGGAGCACTGCTTTTCTTGAGTTTCAGGGGTTTCATGTTGTCAGTAAAAATAGCATAAAGTTGAAGAGTTTCGTATTGGTTGTTTTTCCAACCATTGGATCCTGGTGGTTGACTTTGATGGATGTGTGTTAGTTGGTTAGAGGCGATCGGCAGGAAGCCCTGGACCTAAGTTTCGTGCTTGTTGGAACTCTTCAGCAAGGCGTACCTGCAGCCTCGAGAGAACCGATTTCTTCTCTGAGATTGTAATCTGCATAGGGCGATGTTCGTGTCAGCGAGCTTATCACTGAGCTATTCGGGCTGCGATTGACCTCTTGTAGTATTGGTTTAGATACATTGATTGGCTACTTGAGAGCAACCAACCGAATTCTAGCAATCATTATTCAATGTGACCTTAATAGATCAGTGATGACGTCACTGACTACAAAACTGCGTGATGTGGGTTCGACTCTCAAAGGAGAACAATGTGAATTCGCCAGTTCATTCTTAACACTGACCTTCTATGTGATCAGTCTCGCATGTAATTGCCACGTCTTGCATGCTCCGTTCACCCATATAAGGGAGTTACACAATTTAGCCCTCGGAACCTTGTATATCAGGACAAAAAGTGTTGTGCTGATTATTATTTAACCGTCTGAATCAACTGCATATAAAACTAGGTTACATAAGATACAATAATTGATTTCACTCAACATGCAATTATTTTGAACTATCAGTTATACAGACATGAATGAGAAGTCAATCGAAAGCTCTTGAGTCGAGCTATATAATAACGTTAGCAGGTCGGTATTCATAATTAGAAAGAATAATTGTTTTTATATCATACCGTTTTTGATTGGACCGAGTTGATCAGTCTCTATTGGCATATGGGCTGCTGTGCGGATGCCTCGATACTAACTGTGTTCTAATTATATTAATGATGGATAGTGGCCAACAGTGGAATTCAGGATGCGCATTTCGTCCTATTTAGGACTCACCAGCTGGATGTACCTGCTTCTCAGTGAATGATGTTGTTCCCAGGTACATCCGGCTGACGAGTCCCAAATAGGACGAAATGTGCATCCTGGATTCCACTGCTAGCCAATATCCATGATTAATGTAAGTAGAATGACTTTTAAAATAGATAAAATAATACGACCGATAACACTGATCTGAGTTTCATGTTTTCCATTTATGGAATTCCTATAGTTGTCTACTCTAAGGTAATGGGCTTATACAAAACTTGAGCATTTTCGTTATGTATATTTCTATCCTTTTGAAATTTACTGTCAAAAATATCAATTTTCACAGTGTTGAAGTGTACTTCCATTAATGGTTAGAGTTTATTTGTGGCCTTTTTTCTCTAAACTGGCAAATGATACAGTCAATCTTTATTATTGTTTATACCTTTGTTTTTTCTTCTTTTGTTAACCTCAGTACAACCTGTTACAATGTGGAGCCGTTTAGCCAATCCTTTGCCAGCACCAGATCCTCCAACTAAATTATTCAACACTAAACATGTTCCATTCCAGCGTTATCCATCTGTTGGTGATAAATGCCGGTTACCTTCAATGTTCATACCGATTAATTCTGTTTGCGGAAATCAAGTCACCTCAGAAACACAGATAACAAAACAATTGCCTTGGTATCCAATTCCACAGTCTACAAACATCCCACTTCCTGGGGCTGTTAACTTGCCTAGCGAAGTATACTTCAATCATAATGTGAATGCTAATCTAGTAGCATTATCTACAAATCCTGTACAATACTCAACACTTTGTAATTATGCTTCTTTGAATGACTTAAATTCTAGACAATTTTTGCCATGCTGTGATAAAACTCAATTAACCAGTCAGGTGTACTCATCTCTTCCAGGTGTTGTCCATTCTTCTCTACCTCCAGCACTAACACCAGCACAACTACCGTCATTTTCTTCTCCTTATTCTTCATCTGCTTCATCATTTCTATTCAATGGAAATCAAATCCCTTGGTCATGTTCAGCTAATCAACTAATTGTCAATAATCCTTTGAATTCGTATATTTCAAAGTTATCTGGAAATATTCCTATGGGTTATGAGACATCATTGATAATGCCACGTTGTGTGAATCCACTCTTAAGCAATACCATAACTAGTCATAATAACTTTTTATCATATCCTTTCTTGATTCCTAATCCAACACTTACAAACATGACACAGTTGAACTCACCGACTTCAACACCTTTACCAGGATCATGTTCATCATCATCATCATCATCATCAGTACAGTCTGTATTGGGAACACCTTTTGTGCCCGCAACACAGAACTGTAATAACATCGGTAATATTTATAATTATAACTGGATTCCACCATCTTATTGAATAATTATTTCTTTCTAGATGTATCATAGCTAGTTAGTGAGTACTTGTGCATACCCAAGTATTAGTGTGTGTGTGTGTGTGTTGTTTGCCTATATCCTTGTGATCAACTCAACTGTGAACGTATTCTCCTGGTAACAAAACAGTTTTCTTTTTCTAAAGTTAAGCACAGTTATGTGTATTGACGTGCACACATATGGATGGGTATGCATGGTGTACATGCCAGGAGTGTATACTAATCCTCTCACTGTACTTTCCTTCCCCCCGCCGCCCTATCTACTTTGTATATGTGCAGTATTGGCCTGGTTTTCCATTTTTCTCCAACTTTTCTTTACTTGATATATTGACAGGATATTTTTAGTTCAGTTGTATTCCGTAAAAGATGAGTGATACAAATCAAAATTTTGAGTAGACTTTATGATTTCTTTTTATTGACTTGTGGATTATCCCCCTCTCTGTCTGTCTTTCCTGTTATCTCTATTGGTTGAATGATTGGAAACGATCTGCTGGCACTTCGCCACTTGGAGTATTCTTGTGATGATTAACATTCACTGCGTAAATTTAGCCTGGAGAAAACTGATTTCCTGTGGAGTTACTTTTGAATTTATACTAGAGGTGTCGGGTCATATATACTGTTTCTGAGCAAGTTACTGTATACCATTGATAGACTCGACGTCAGATAAGCGAAATAGCCCTCTGGTGTTTCTAAACTACTCAAGTTGTTTAGCAGTAGTACATTCGTTAATTCATGACACTTTCGTTCAGAGATCACATCTTGTCATCTTCTCTGAGTGACTTTTGATAGAAACCTTGCTGATATCGCAGTTAGGCAGTTGAAAAACTACTTAGTTATGGGGAAGTGTTGACGTGAACCGTGGAAACTGTAAATCATCTGCAAACTGGTCATCCTAATCTTACAACAGTGAATGGCTACTGATCGAATTCAGACTATAACCAATAAGTGACATGTCAAGACAGTCTAAGACGGTCGACTGGAGTCGGTAGGGGAATCTATGAAGACAAAGAGTTCTCTTCAAGTTTTCAGGCTTATTATTGAATTCCAGTAAGAGCGTATCCTGTCCATATTTTCTTATGAGTGGTTGAATACCAGGTGGCCAACATAAGTATATTGTGTGATACTCATATATTACCTGTACTATGGTAATCAGAATTATTCAGGTTAAAGAGTGTAAATGTTTTATTTATTGCATAAATACTTGCTCAAAGTGTTTTGTTTTACATGAACTGCTTTAAATAAGAAATAGAAATTGTTTATTGATACTTGAAATTTCCCTATGCTATTATGGGTTGAATTGTTTGATTTCTGTTGGCAGATGGGCTCCAATGAAGATACCTTGTTACTGCCTGAATATGTTGTAGTTTATTTGGTGGTGGCTAGTAATAGAATCCAGGACGCGAGTTTCGTCCTCTTTGGGACTCGTCAGCTGATTGTACTTGTGCCCCAGTGAGTGAGGCTGGAAGTATACCTAACCGAAGAGTACCCATAAGTAAGAAACCTAATCTCATGGTTTCCTAATGATTAACTACTAAAGTCTAACACCAGGTTAATTGAATACGTTTTATGGAACAAGTTCACAAATGACGGAGAATATCTAGACAACATCATCACTAACTTCCATACGGATTCATATTGACGCTAGTGCTGATGATGCTACAAAGAAAGACAACGAAGGCTTCACGATCAAACCATTCAGGTCAGAAAATGCAACATAACCAAGACAAGTTAACCATGAAAGTATCGCAACTCAGGATAATGTTAGTGTGATGGAACACTGATTGGAGGTCTTCTATCATTTTTATCCAATTAGTAACATTTACAAATTACAGAATCGAAGAAGTTTGCAGAGAAATGCCTTGCTAAAACATTGTAATTAATTTTCTTGTAAAGCGAAACTCCTCTAGAGAGAAGAATATGAAATCTTATTTTAAGATAGGGTGATTACTTTGAGATGATGAAGCAGGCATGAATATGAATCATACTAACTGTTTCGAGTGATAGTTCACTTTGGGCGAACATTCTACAATCAAGACAGAAAGCATCGTCAGTGAAATGTCATAAAAACTGGAAGAAAAACTCAAATCTACATAAGCCTGATTGGTCAGAGAAATCACATTCTCTACACTAATATATGGGGGGTTTACAAACCAATCAAAACACCAATCAAGTGGTGGAGAAGGGCTGAAAACAATAATTACAGATCTTAAGTAAGTCATGAAGATGATAAATTTGAAAAATCAAGATACAAATGATCGATAGAGTAATTCTATGGGGTTATGAATGGTAAATATAGTGATGTGAAACAGGTTATTCTTAGGCAAATGACACAATAACTGGTAAAGTAAATGGAGTGTTTTTTCTCGACTAGTAAGTCATAAACAATAAATAATTGCACAATAATGAGAAAACAAATGAATATTGATAGAAACAAGAAGGGGAATAGGTATACAAAGTAACCGTAGAAGTTACATCATGTTGACGGCCATGGTAATGAAAGTGGTCGAACAAACTTCTTTTGAATGTCAAGATTAAGTTTGTAAAGGTAGATTACAATCGCTTCTGCTATGTGAATTGGGCGAATGGATAATCTGTATGGTAAATTAAATGGTGTACAATGAATACTTTTAAATACTTTTCTAGTATTCACTTGATGTCCGGTGTCAACTAGCTGTACAAGTATGGAGCTCTTTATCAGCCTAATCTGTCCCTTACTCAGGCATGATGGATGGTGCTCAGAAACTTGACAATGGGCCTGCCTCATTGTACGTCTGATGTAACTAGCTCCACAGGAGCAATTGAATTGATAAGTGCACATGGGAGTGACAGAATCAGGCAGATTTATTTCTTTATTTCTTGCACATAGAATCGCGCGGTTGTAGAAGATAAAACATAATTTAGCGGTTGGGAGGACTCTTTGCAAGGCTCTATATGCGTTATGTGATAATCTCACTAACAATGTCACATTTAGGTTCCAGTTTCAAGGGGATTTTCTTCTTTGGGCCTGTTGACATTCTTGACTTAAACTCAGTAACACTGATACATACTTAGTTACCAACTTCGCTGGATAGCCATTCCTACTAAGTATGTCATGGATGGTGGCAAAATCTTCCTGTATAGCATAATATGAACAGATGGCTGTGCTACGATATGCTATGTATTTCACCAGGGTCCGGTTATATTGAAGGGGTAGGCCATTAAAGAAGTACGTGTATCCACCCGTTGATGTTGGCTTTCTATATACACTTGGTTTCAGAGTTCCATCTAACCTTCTTACCAGCAGAACATTAATAAATAGGATACTGTCATTTTGTTACTCTTCTGTTGTGAAGTTGATTGTCGTACGAACACTAGTGACCTAACTGAGAGCAGAATTCTTATCAGTCTCACCTTTGAGAACTATTAAGGTGTCATCTATGTGACGACAGTGTAGTTCCAACCGGCTTATAGTTTCGTTCAAAGGACCATTCTTCAGTCTTGTCAGGAAATATCTAAGGGTGAGCTAAGGGGTGACCCCATAACCACATCATCAGACTCCCTGTAGACTTCATTGTTGAGAAGGAATTGTGCATTTATTGTACACCTCAGAAGTAGTTCTTTCCAAATGGAGACTAGAATACTTACTTCTATGTCTTACTTAGTAAAGTTCATTGCAAATGAAGTCTACTGTTCCTACTAAACGAACGTTAGTAAAAAGATATGGAATAACACAGGATATCACGAACTTATCCATTTGCAGATCTTCAATCTTTTCAACAAATTTATAGATAACTTCCAAGCTTTACTTCATAATTTTCTTGTGAAGAGGGTTCAAGAGTTGTTTGTACTAACCATCTTATAGTTGTATAATGCGGCGAGTTTGAAGTGTTGAGAACTGGTCGGAGAGGCAATCCATTTTTGTGCAGTTTCAGCAGACCATAACGTCTAGGGGTTTACAGTTCCAGTGGATTTAAGCATCTCAGAGATGCTTTCTGAAATGAAACTTGGTTGTTTTATCTTTTTCAATGACTTGGCTAGATATCTCTCTTTCTTCTGTGTTACATCACCATAGGCGACTTATTTCTGAAATTTACTTACATTTGATTGAATTATAAACGTCTAGATAGTGCCAAAGACGAAGACCTAATTGAAAAGGAATATGGTTGCTTCCCTCAATCAGTCTTTTTTCTAAATGTGTAGATGCAAATTTTCAACGTACTAGAGTCTACATAACCCTTTGTCTACTAACGCACCTACATAGGAGATAAGTAGGCCATTTACATCTGTATCGCCGATATTTTGTGGTTCTGTTGAGTGATTTCTTTAAACATTTTTACTGATTTTTAGAGATCTTGTAACCTCGCCTGGTTAACTAGTTTACTAGTTACTAGCCGGTCCTAAGCCCCATAAAGAGGGAAGGTTGGGCATAGGGCTAGCAACCCTACCCCGTAAAACAAATCTAACCGCTAAACAAACTTCAAAGCACAAACAAAATATAAAAAATGAAAACAAACTTATTCCCCGCTGGAATCGGAGAGGCGAAATGACGCCAGTTGGTGAAAGCCTGACTTCGGGAAGCCAATTGGCCGATGTGTCTTCTCTCCCTCGATGAAAGCGAAAGTAAACGTGGGGACATGGAATGTCCGCACGATGTTTGAACCCAGTAAGGCAGCCCAGATTGCAAAGGAGATGAGAAGGTATAACATCGAAGTGCTTGGGATTTGCGAAAGCAGATGGAATGGGAGTGGACTCTGGAAACTGTCAACTGGAGAGCAGTGTCAATAATCTACTCCGATATTGTCACCCAGACGCCAACCACGAGCACACTGAGTTATGGAGTGGCTATCATGATGTCCTCAAGAGCATCGAAGGCTCTCATGCAGTGGGAACCAATCTCCTCCAGGATCATGACAGCAAGATTCAACTCAAAAGGAAGAAAGGTCACAATCATACAATGTTATGCACCTACAAATAATGCAGAGCAAGAGAAGGAGGAGGAATTCTACAGACAACTTCAATCAACACTGGACAAGACGTCAGTTGGAGATATCAAAATTCTGATGGGCGACATGAATGCCAAACTGGGAGGGGACAACACGGGAAGAGAACTAACCATGGGTCGAGAGGCGCTAGGTGAAATGAATGAGAATGGAGAATTGTTTGCAGAATTCTGTGCATTCAACGATTTGGTGATTGGAGGCAGTGTGTTCAGGCACAAGGATATCCACAAAGCGACATGGATTTTCACCAGATGGACACACTAAAAGTCAAATCGACTTTATCTCAATCTCAAGAAAATGGAGACGCAGTCTACTTAACACAAGGTCAAGAAGAGGAGCAGATGTAGGTTCAGACCACTATCTAGTGAAAGGAACCTTCCAAATCAAGTTAAAGGCTTCAAGGAAGCTGGTGATAGACCTCAATTCAAGTACAACACTCGGAAACTGAAGGATAAAACTACAAAGGAGATCTTCACGTCAGCCATCCATCAAGACAAAATGGGAGATATCGAGGAACATCCGTGAAGAAACCTGTGTAGAAGAACACTGGAAGTCTTTGAAAGCTATGTGGAACGAAACCTGCACAGCCGTACTAGGAAGGAAGAAGGTGGAAGACAAGGAATGGATCTCGGCGGATACCTGGAAGCTGATGCAGTGGGGAGAGGAGGATGGTGAAGCAGAAGATAAACCAGTGCAAGAATGCTCAACGACAAGAGGAACTGAGCACAATGTATAAAACACTGGATAAAGAAGTGAAGAAGAGTGAACGCAAAGACAAAAGACACTTCTACGAAATACTGGCAAGTGAAGCAGAACAGGCTGCAGGTAAGAGAGACCTGACGACATTGTATCAAATAACCAGGTTGCTATCAGGGAAGAGGCCAATACAGATGAAACCAATAAAAGTTGAAGAAGGAAATTTAATTACAAAAGAAGAGAAACAGAGGAAACGATGGGCCGACCACTTCAAGAAGCTCTTGAATCGACCACCACCACCTGCACTTCGTCCAGAAATACCACCTGCAGTCGCTGAACTACAAGTGAACATTAATCCCCCAACGAAAATGGAAGTCCTGAACGCCATAAAGCTACTGAAATGCGGGAAAGCAGCAGGACCAGATGGAATACCGCCAGAAGCACTGAGAACAGATGCAGAGACAACAGCGGCCATGCTCACACCACTATTGCAGAAGGTGTGGAGGGAAGAGAAGGTACCTGGCTAGTGATTGGAAGAAGGGTTACCTTGTCAAACTGCCGAAGAAGGGAGACCTCAGTGCTTGCAAGAACTGGCGCGGAAT